GACTTCAACTAAAGTATAGAATATATAGAAAATGATAGTTTTACCCCTGATGGGTTGAGAAGCCATAGTAAGTGTATTAAATGACTATTTCACTCTTTTGGATTCTAAAGTATTATTTGACCATGTCAAATGACTGTTATGCCCTTGATGAGTTTTAAAGTATTAATTCGACGCGAAATAACCATAGTACCCTAATGTGTCCTTGGGTTCGGGTGAGGACTCGGTTAGCAATCAGGATCTCCGAATTTGGATCGTTACATGTAGTTTTAAAAATTCCAAATTATAATAACTTCATTTAAGAGATCTATTGAGTTAAAATTAATAATTATTAAAAGTATTTTTAATAATTATCAAACAAATCAAAATACAATTTTTAAAACAATAATAGTCTTTTACAGAAGTTGAAAAGCAATTCCAACACAGTAGGCTTTAGTCTGGGCTGAAGAGAACTAAGCCATTATGGCCCAAATATCTTTAAAAAAGAAACATGGTCATAGTAAACTATTTAAGCCCAAATGAGAAACAAGACCGACTAACATGGCCCAATTAGGGGCCCTCTCAACCGGAATCCAATTATAGTGAATGTTTGTTAGCAAATCAGTGAAATTTTTCTTCGTCGTCGAGGTATCCATCTACCACATTGAATATAAGTTATATATCATATTGAATATAAGTTATACAGCTCAAGTGTAAATCCTTAATAATATTTTATTTGTGAATTTTCATCGATTTAATTTCCTCTTTGGGTTTTTCCAAGTTAAATCTTGATTGCCCTAAATTCTTCATCTTTCTTTGCATTTATTTTATTTGTTGATCGGCTTTGTACCCTTGACTATATAGTTTTCATTAATCCATTATGAAGTGTTATTTGATAACTCAATTCATCAATTAATTTGGAATGAATTAAGCGTTAATTCAATTAAGATGGTAAGCCCAACTTAAAATGGGATAAAATAAAGAGATAAAATTTTAAGTGAGATGAATATTACTTATCACTGGATGTTAACGCTGAAAATTCAAAATATAAAAAAATAAAAAATAAAATAAAATTTAAATACCACTTAAAAAATTTAGGACTTAAAATTAAGCTTTTAAATTTTCAGTACTTAATTTTTGTTGTTTGATAAAACTGAAAATTAAGAGCCTATTTGGGATTGCTGTTAGAACGATGAAAGCGCATTTAATAGTAAAATTGTCATAAAACTGCTCTCAGTAAAACGCAGTGATGCGTTTGATGACCCATTGTATAAATGCATTTGGTTTGGTGACACATTGTATAAATCATTTTTTATATTTGAATCACTTTTAAATTTGTTTGGTAATAATATTATTTAAAGCACTTTTATTACTAATTTTACTATATTACCCCTACACTATGTGCTAATTTCCTAATATTAAATATTATAAAATTTCATTAAGTTCAATAATTTATGAAGATCAACTTGTATTGATTTTTTTTTTTTTTTTAAATATCACCAATTTTGTTTATCATATAGTATTAGTATTTAGGATTAAAATATAAATGAGTTAAACATATTTTAATGATTATTAATTTGTATCTAATTTAGGAACTTTTAGTAATATAATAATCAAATTCGTTCTTATTCTATCTAATAATAAAATTTAATAATATAATGCTTTGTAGTATAGACAACATTTCATTAAATAAAACTACACACTTCAAATGTGGTGATGGCGGCATTGGTGAGATTGGAAGGCAGCCTAGCAGAGTCCCAAAATGATTATGATATTACTTTGCTATTTGTTTGTACGAGGGACAAAATTGTATCTATAAAAAATAAAGAGGAATTGCATTGTTTAAAACAAATTAATTACCTAAAAAGATTAATCTATATCCCTAAATCAATTTTAAAAGATACAATTCTCAACTTCACTTAAACGTGCTTTTTGGATATAACCTCTATCACTTAAAAGTGTTTTTTTGGTTCACCAAACACACATTCCAACTCAATTTTTTAGATTGAAAGCGCTTATTAGTGGTACAAAAGCAATCCCAAACACCCACTAAGTATCGAAAGTTTTAAGAGCTGAATTTTTTAAGTGATAATTAATTTTTTTTTTTAATATTCAGCGTTTAATATTTAGTAATAAGTGATCTTCATATCACTTAACATTTTACGCGTTTACCAATTTCAGTGATATTCAAATTGCGATATCAAACACACTTAATTAGATAACACTTAATTCGTTCTGAATTGATAACATAGAAACCGCACTGCTGCTTATTTCAGTTAAGCACTGAAAATTTCAAATATTGAATTTTAAGCGCTGAATGTATTAATCTAAGAACTTGTTTGATACTCTATTAACTTTAAGCATTGAATTTATTAAGACTGTTTGTTAAATGCAAAAGTTGAAATCTGAATGTTGTATATATTACATTTTTGCCTTGAATATATTCTACACATAATATTATTATAAAAGATACTACATTAAAATATAAACACATATAAATAATGGATTTCACCACAGAAATATATCAATTTAACAATGGGTGTTAATGTCAACATTGATAATAAAATTTTCAAAATCAAAATACAAAATGAATTACTTATGAAAATGAAATATTTATGAAAAAAAAAAAAAAAATAGAAATCACACACAAATCATTTTATTTTTATTTATATACTGTAGTAGTTTTGCATCATAGCAATGATGAAAGGGGTTGCATTGCATGACTGTTGATTATAAATTTAAGTGAACAGTATATATTTTTTTTTTTATGTATTTTGTTAAATATTATTTTGATTAACATTATTTGAGAAAAGAAGCGCAATGTTAGTTGAAACTTTTGAGAAATTGGAGTAAACTAAAAACAAAAAATCATCGAAGTGAACAGAAATGCAAATATCAAATAGAAACCCAATCGGTAGGTTTAATTTGGAATATAACTGCTAGTTTTTAGGAAAGCCAGTTTTTAGGGGAGAGTTTTTAGGAGAGTTTTTAGTAATTTTGATCTGGTTTAAGGAATCTAAAATTATTTAAGTGATAGCCTAAATAGTTATCAAACACGCTAATTTTTAAAAATCGTTTATTACTTTCTGTGTTAAGAACTGCATAACATACACTGCCCCATTATTCTGATTGACCATCCATGTTCCATTTTGAAAGACTTACCTTAATTTAGTATGAGGATTCAACGAACGTGGACACTTTTCCATAATGGTTGGATGGTTGCATATTTTTTGGAACATGCTTACAAAGCAGGAGAAATTATAGAACCACGTTACCACATTCCTCTATTACTCAGCCCAGCAATCGCATACCATATAGATTCAAATTAATTTTGGTGCCACGTGGCATCATCTGAATGGTTCATTTTCAAAAACCTAATTGGAACATAGTTTAGAGTATCTCCAACCGTTGTATATATATTTTTTTGTATAAATTGTCATAATACATTTATATAAAAAAATTTAGATTATTTATTTTTAGTTCCAACTCATGTTTTATACCTTTTGTGTAAAATATATCTCCGATAACAATCAATCAATGTCATGCATGGACCCCACATAATTTTTACAAACCTATTTAATATAGGGTTGATCCGTTAATGAAACGAGAAAGAGGGAAGAAAAAGAAAAGATGTTGATGTGGCTATGTAAAAAGGTTGGGTAAAATACACAATAATTTTACACATTAGTGTATCATAACAAACTGTTGGAGATAAATAAAAAATAAAAAATAAAAATTATACATTATACATTATACATTATATATATTTTACACAAAAAAATATTTTAACAGATTGTTTTTCAGTTCTCAAGGAATTTAACAAGATATAGAACTTGCCATATGTTATTCTTTTATTGGCATGAATAACATTGTTTCCTTTCTTCTTATTTCACAAATTCCATGTGGCGAGGGCTGAGTAGTAACATGTGTCGTGTCTTTGATGATCAAGTGAGAGCATCTCCAACAGTTGTGTGTGTGTGTATATATATATATATATTTGTATAAATCTGATGTGTCATAATAGATTTACACAAAAAAATTAGAGTATTTATTTTTAACTCCAGCGGTTGTTTTATATATTTTGTGTAAAAATATATCTCCCAATAACAACCAAGCAGTGTCATGCATGGACCCCTCATAATTTTTACAAACCTACTAAATATAAGGTTGATTCGTTAATGGAATGAGAAAGGGGAAAGAGAAAGAAAATATGTTGATGTGACTATATAAAAAAGTTGTGTAAAATATACAACAATTTTACACTGATGACGTGGCATTATAATTTTTACACAAAAAAATATTTTAACATATTGTTAAAGATGTTCTGAGGTTGTATTTATACTATTATCTCCATATAATCTCTTTCTTTCCGGATCATTGGGATATTAATCCATTGTGACAAGTCCTATGGAACTCAACATAGTCTTGATTTAATGGACTCCATGTGGCGGAACACGAGTGGTTTGAGATCTTTGCCTTGAATTATCACGTGAGGTCATATATAAGTAATACTTCAATATGACCTTCCTTTCCAAATTTGTTAGAACTGTAATATGATGTTGCAAGTTCCATTGAAACTCGTCACAAGCTTCCTTCTTATTCATAGATAATTTCTCTCTTGATTCTCACCTTATGTGTGAGTCTTACACTACTTGAATGGTATATCCCTTATGGCATCAAGTCAACTTGAATCTATGATGATGCCGTTCCTTTTAAAGTAATTAGGCAACAATCCGGTGTGACAAGTTCTCTCTTACCACATGTCATCTGTTTATTTGGCCAAAACAATGAGATAAACGTATACATAGCACTATTATCACAGCATGAAAATTCAATAAGCACTCGACAAGTCCTTGAAAATCTTCTAAATTCTGCAAGCGAGTCTGTCCCCTGGAAATGTAAATCTCCAATAAAGAGCAAAACAGTTCTTCCCGCAAACAGGTAATTTCGAGTCAAACCACGTAGACACGCATATATATATATATATATTCGAACAAAAGCACATTCTGAAGGAGCCCGGCACATTATCCCCAGTAAATTGTCTTGATTCATTAGTGAAAAATAGCTTTAGAGAGTACAAATTCAAGCAGAAAATGTTAGCTACTTCGTTTTGGTGTACCTAGACCGTAAAATACGGCCTGAGATTTTTTTTTTCCCCCTTCTTTTTTATTCTTTTCAGTAGAAGGGCAGACATGAGGAGATACTAAGTGCACACTAATAATTCATAGCAGCTGTGACAATATTGTACAAGGAGAGAGACGAAGATATTACTCCCCGTTCATTAAACCCAGCTTTTTATGGACGAAAAGTAATCATAGCATTTCCCTGATGCTATTTTTTTTTTTTTTTCCAAACCTTCTCACAATTTCATCATCACATACAGGAATTCAACAGAACTTGAATTTCTTTCAATGGCCACTTTGGCTAGTTCACGAACAAACTGAGATGTGGCACCTTTCACAAACCAAGTCCTCAGACTTTTGCTCCAAGGAAGGACTGCATGCCAACAAAAGAACCAAAAATTAGCAAAGGACTTTATGCGGAGTCATGCACGTATGCATTTATGCACATATTCATGCATTTACAAGTACACCAGTGAACGACAATGACAATATGGTAGCCTTCATAGTGGCATAATGCAAATACAATGGGAAGGATATGGACATTAGCAGCCCTCATGCATTATATGCACATTCATGCATTTAAGTGAAGCATGTTCTGGATATTGTAGCCTACACAGTAGCATAATGGGAACGTGTCCACATTCATAGTATAATAGTAGCCTTCATGCATAGTTGGTCCCAGCTTCCACCAGTTCTCCTAAAACCAATTGGTGTTAGGGAGGGCATCAGCCTTGTACTTAAACTTTGTGTTCGTGGCGGTTAGTCCAGTGTACCAGCCGCAGAGCTTACTAAGGGTGGACCTTGGCTACACCAGCCAACAATCCCCTCCTCCAAGGAAACCACACCCTTGGTGACTAGAACAGGAGACCTTGGCTCTAACACCACTTGTTGGACCCAGCTTCCACCAATCCTCCTAAAACCAATTGGTGTTGGGGAGGGCCTCAGCCTTGAACTTAAACTTTGTGTTCGTGGCGGTCAGTCCACTGTCAGCAACACCAGCCGCAAAGCTCACTAAGGGTGGACCTTGGCTACACCAGCGAGCAATTTATATGCATATTCATGATTTAAGCGAAGCATGTTATGTTCATTTTCGGAAATGTGAATATACCAAATTGGATACTCACATACTCATGCACAACTGTCCATGGAATGGCTTTATTGCCCTTCGTTGCAAGATGATGATGATGATGATGATGATGATAAATAAATGAAATAAAAGAAAAAGTAACCTACCAATGTACCAAGCTTCTTAAGCTCAAACTCTCTAATTGCCTCTCCTCAACCAACTCTCCCTTCGTCCTGTGTGTGTGTGTGTGTTCATTAAAGTGACAATTATCGCAATCTAACAAACTCATGAAACTCTCATTACATTGAAATCGTGAATTCTATTGCACTTGGGATTATTTGGTTTTTTCTTTTAATCACCTCCATCACTTCTTCTCTCAGCTCCAATGGCCACTCGGCACTCAACGCAACCATCACCACTGACCCAACTAGAGACTTGGTCGGCTGGTCCAAGTCCAACTCAACCCCATGTCACTGGTCGGAATCTCCTGTGATCGCGACCACCGAATCATGGTCTTTCTCTTCCAACAAGGCTTCACTAAGTACATTCCATTGTAACTGAACTTAATCATCTCTCTCGAATAACTTAACCCTTTCACAACTATTTCGAACCCATCCCATCGCTCCTCTTCAACAACAAAATAAAAACAGAAGAAAATGTGAGAGACGGCAGTAACAATTACCCCATGTTTCATACTTTTGTTGCAGTGACAATTACCCCATGTTTCATTCAGTAACTTCATCTATCGTCACCTCCCAACTTAACCGACAACATCAACACTCCAACTCTGTTCTTTTCACCTCTCTCTCTCTCTCTCTCTCTCTCTCTCATGTCAATATCTATGTGCTCCAATTTCTCTTGTTAATTCCTCCACATTCAGTGATACCAGCCATCCCTCTTTGTCTATATAGACATCCCATGTATATGTGTGCAAATTTTGACCTGCTACCAATATATTCACAAAGAGATACAGAATTTTGCATTCATAAACCAAGTTTCACATAAATAACATTACTGGTAAATTAAAAACGATGGCGAAAAAACCCACAACTAGTTAAGCATTGACCATTCATCACATTATAAAAATTAAAAAATAGAAAAAGGAAAAGTCAACCTTATGATACACTATGCAAAATTCCAATCTTGAAGAGAGAGAGAGAGAGAGCAAAAGATAGAAAGAGGGGGCAGAGAAATCATGCTGAAGACAGATGTATTCAAACAAATAATAATAATAATAAGAAATGAAATAAAAGAAAAAGTAAACTAACAACGTACCAAGCTTCTTAGGCTCAAACCCTCTAGTTGCCTCTCCCCAATCAACTCTCCCTTCGTCGTGTGTGTATTAAAGTGACGATTATCGCAATCTAACAAACCCATGAAACTCTCATTGCATTGAAACCATGAATTCTATTGCACTTAGGATTATTTGGTTTATTCTTTTATTCACCTCCATCCTTTCTTCTCTCAACTCCAATGGCCACTCAGCACTCAAAGCGGCCATCATCACTGACCCAACTAGCCACTTGGTCGGCTGGGCCAAGTCCAACTCAACCCATGTCACTGGTTGGAATCTCCTGCGATTGCAACCACCGAATCATGGTATTTCTCCTCCAAAAGGGCTTCACTAGGTATATTTCATCATAACTGAGCTTAATCGTCTCTCTCAAATGACCAACTAGCTCACAACTTTTCCAAACCCATCCCATCCCACCTATTCAACAGCAAAATTGAACTAGAAGAAAATGTGGGAGACGGCAGTAACAATTACCCCATGTTTCATACTTTTGTAGCAGTCACAATTATTCCATATTTCAATCAGCAACTTCATCTATCAGTCGCCTCCCTACTCAACTGACAACTTCAATACTCCAACTCTATTCTTTTCACGTCGTAGTCTCTCTCTCTCTCTCTATGATGTCAATATCTATATGCTCCAATTTCTCTTGTTAATTCCTCCAGATTCGGTAATACCAGCCATCCCTCTTTGTCTAATAGACATCTCATGTATCCATACGCAAATTGACTTGTTACCAATATATACACAACAAGATGCAGAATTTTGCATCCGTAAACCAAATTTCACATAAATAACATTGTTGGCATATTAAAAATGCCCCACTAGTTAAACAATGAACATTCATCACATCAAATAAAAATCAAACAAAAAAAAAAAAAAAAAATTATAACAAATAAAAAGGAAAAACCAACCTTATGATACACTATGCAAAATCCCAATCTTGAAGAGAGATAGAGAGAGTGAACAAAAGATAGAAAGAGAGGGCAGATAAATCATGCTGAAGACAGAGAGAGCGAAAATGAAAATTAGGATTTAGGGTTTTAGCTACATGGATGGGTTATTTTAACCGGGTTGTGTCAGTCATCCATAATGGTGATAAGGGTAATCTTGGCATTTATGAATATATGCATATCAAATGACGCACTTGTCAATTTTACTGTTACATTCTCATCACCATAATGGGGGTGGTTGTTGCACATTGGTGATAGTGCAGACTGCAAGGGATTTCAAACTTTACCTTAATTATATATACCAACACAAGGGCTATCACCTGTAACAAAATTGACCATGCTTTAAAACTTATTATGATATTTTAGTGAAATTTTCAAAAGATAATAAAACTCGCGTATACACTGCAGATGCTTGAATATTCCACTAAAGTCTTCTACCATCTGCAAATACCGAGAATTGATCGAGGAGAATTGCTTTTTCTTTTGTGGATAGGAAACAACAGTTCATGAAAGATGAGGGAGGAGAGGGAGAAAATACGAAGTTGGACAAGAAAATTCAACATCAAATGTACAAATATAATAGACAAAAAAGAAAGCAAATAAAACCAACGACATCCATCAAGGGAGATAAAAATTATCCTCAGATATTCATCAGTCATGGGCTCTCATTCAGCACAACAGTTTGCCTTACTATAAGCTAATTAATGTATTAGAAAGTAACATTACATACACAAAGGAAGCCAAATCTTTACTTGTCTTCTAAAATGAGAATATCTCTGACCCTTTATCTTTAACATTAGCCCATCCAATGAAAACTTTCAAAAACCCTCTGCAGAATGCTTCCTAAAAGCCTTCAAGAACACTAAAATACCTCCCTTTAAACGCATCAGTTTGACTCCTCAATAATGAAAACGAGAGAACAACCTCACCTTCAAGATCTAAATAATCACAACCCAAACCAAGATGACCTAGATTACAATTGACAATTTAAAATGACATGTCTATATGCAAACAAAATATCATCACATGATGATATAAAGTGTAAACTACTAATAGTTCTCCTTCAGGCTTCCTCATTCATATTCAATTTAATAAAACTTATCACTGACATGTTCAATGACCCAAACTCTTTACAAATTTGGGCATTGGCTTCCTGAACACTTAATCCATAATTCTTCCAAATTTTGCCGGATAAATCTGGAATCCCAAATTTGTCAAAACTCCAGCTCACCTAGACAGGCATTTTACATCTTTGGAAGTGGTTTTTCTCTGTTCCTGTTTCCTTCCAAGGAAAGGTTGTATGAAGAAGAATGGATCTTTAATATCATCTTTTACTAGTTCAGATCATAACCGTAGTGTGGAGGCACATTACTTTCTTTCCAATCCAGTCCCCTTCAAAGAAAAGGCTATGTGAAGAAGAGAGTGGATTTTTAACTACATCTTTTACTAGTTCAGATATACTCGTAACTGCGGAGGCCTGAGAACCATATCCTAAGTCTCACAATTTTCGCAGACCAGTGGGTGCTCTGTTGCTCCGCACACGAATCAACACAATGAGAGCAAAAATGCCAGAAATCCACGCTCACTTTTCAAAATCCACAGATTGAATGCGGATTGAAGTTTGACATTTAAAGATGCTCTATTTTATCTTAGGGTTAATTATACTCACACCCCCTGAGGTTTGCTTTATTGACAGCTAGATGAAAGTTAGTCCATTATTGAACAATGACACCCCCTCAAGTTTACTCCATTTGCCAAAGACAACCCTAAGCACTCTAAAACATAATAAAATGACTAAAAAGCCCTTTGACTTGTCAATTAAACAATTGAGATTTTGAAATTACAGATTTAAATTTCTAACTAATTTTAATTAACCAAACTAACCTTTCATCACTACAACAGTATACATACACCGAACACACATATGTGCGTATATATATATATATCATTTCCTCTAATATATGTATATAGATAGATATACTTAGAGAGAGAATGGGAGCAGAAGAGGGTGCTAACCACCTCTACTGGTGGCACATCACCACAGCCACCATCACCATACCGCCACCTCCACCAAAGCCTCTCTCTATACCCTCTCATTTTCACAGCCCCGCCACACCCACACCCACCACCACCATATCATAGCCCCGCCACCACTCCATAGCCCTGCCACACTTGCCACCACCACTTTACAGCCCCCCCACCACCACCACCATATCACAGCCCCGCCACCACTTCACACCCCCATCACACCGCCCCACCACCACCACCACTACACAACCCCGCCACACCCACCCCACCACCACTTCGAAGACTTCAACTTTACCTTCATAGTACCACCACACCCACCACCATCATCGATTACGAATCCATGGCTAAAGTTTGCAGAAGCCCTAGCCGAATTAGGGTTTTAGTTCCCCAAATGCAACACCAACCAGTCTGATTGATTCATCGGGATTCAAACGAGGACGGACAGTGCTTTGTCCGATTCCTCTAGTCGTGTGCCTAGAATCGCCAATTTACCCTAAAATCTTCCATTACCTTGCCGCCAATGTGTGGATTCCGGTGAGGGTGAACAGCTATGAGATGCAATGGGTGGGCTCGAACTACGCAAAAGAGGAGGTGAGGAGGATCAGAGAAGAGGATAAATTGGATGCGATTGTGTACCAGTTAAGGAGGATTGGTGAAGAGCTTGACGAAGATGGGTTTGGTGTGTATATTACATATATATACATATATATATGTTGATTGAACCCAGTTCAATTCATTTATTGAAAGTAAAAAAAACAAATATGTGATTTATATTGCGGTAGCAATGGTAGGTGGTGGTGTTGATGGTAGAGGTGGTGGTGGTAATTGTGGGTTTCTCATGAAGGTGAGAGGGTAAAGATAAAGGGGAACATTCCTGGGTTTTTTTTGGAGGAGAGGGTAGAGAGAGAAACCTATGATTAATAAGGGTAATTCTGTCATTTTTTTTTTTTTTGATATTTTAGATTAATACTCCCTCCGTCCCAAAATAAGTGTCATGCTTTCCTTTTTGGTCTGTCCCAAAATAAGTGTCCACTTTCCTTTTTTAAACAATATATTTCACATCTTTCCATATATGTCCTTTGAGCTTTAAATTTCAAACTTGAATATTCAAAACTTAAAAGGGCAATTTAGTAACTTTCGAGGGAGACAATGCATGCCCCACATGTCCCCTTAAAAATTACTACTCCCCAAACATGACACTTAAATTGGGACGGAGGGAGTAATTGATATTTAATTGAAGGGTAATCTCGTCTTTTCACAACTTTTAAGGGCTTGTTTGGATTAAATTTCTGCAAGGGGGTGTGAGTGTTCAAATAAGGCCTAACTTTCATGTAGTTGTCAATAGAGCAAACCTCAGGAGGTGTCACTGTAATTAACCCTTTCTCTTATTACAATGCTCAATCACATGTAAACGTGCAAGGACATGTAATTTCAACCTTCATGGCTTCATGCGTACTGCTTTTCTATGTTATAAAATTGTGAAAATGAGAGGTGCAAAGGTCAAAAGCATAACTATGGAATAAAGAACTAGATAGTTACCACTAAACTGTACTGTGTTTCTGCAAACATAACACTACTATATATTTATACACACCCACATATTAGTGTTCTACAGCTCACCGTCATGTAGATAAAATACTCCGCAACACAAACTATGCCCATTGGATGATATCTAACAGCTTTAATGAAAACCAGCCATTTGCTTATTCTGCGGTTTTGAAAAACCAAAAACCACCTTTTTTATTGACAAGTTCCATATTTTATATAGAGGAAAGGATAGAGAAATAAAAGGTGGGCCATCAACCGATAATACGAATATGAAAATGTCTACCTCTTCTAAAACCCCAAAACAAACAGAACCATTCATCCTTACGACTCTCTTCTCATGGTGAGTGTTCCATCTCTTTCCCATACGATAAATTATTGATATAATGATAGTAAAGCATTTATTAATTTCTGGAAATCTTCGATCTTGCACAGTTTGCAAGGATAAACATTTGATAGTTCGGGTGGTTGTAGTGTTTGGATTTCTATAAATAAAAAAAATAAAAAAATTGATTATGTGAAGCACTTGTTAATTTCTGGAAATCTTTGATCTCACACAGTTTGCAAGCATTTGATAGTTTGGGTTGTTGTAGGGTTTGGATTTCTATAAATAAATAAATAATAATAATTTTAAAATGATTATGTGTCAATATGTAAACTAAGATGAAAAGGCGGGAATAAACTTATGATGACATCCAATCAAAACAATATGTTACACAAATTGAAATGTTATACTTGATTAAACCCCAGCCAGAGTAATATTAGCTTTGATTTGAAACCAACTACCAAAAAGAGCTTAGCCCCGACGATGGACACACACACACTCTCTCTCTCTCCACGTTCACTAGCACAAAGCTAGGACTGAATCTCAATGATCTTCCATCCTTCAGTACCACTTTGTCTTAAGGTTACTAATCCATGAATGTGTGATGAAATGAATAGATAGATTATCACAATGAAACATTTATCTATCTCTGAGGCAATAGATAATACATGAGAGTGAGAGAGCCCAAATCGGGCTAAATGTCATTGTTTAGACTCGATATTTCCCTATCAAGGCGTGATTAACACACATGCACTTTTTGTTTCATGAGAAGGTGGGTTTGACTTTTAAAACTGAATTGTATAAAAATGGATGGTTTTCATTTAAGCCACCATAGTTTGAGTCGCGGAGTATTTTATCTACACGATGGTGAGCAGTAGAACACTACAGTATAAATATATACCAACATTAATTTATATATTTGAAGTGGCAAATATTTGTTTACCTTGACTCCTGTTGGAAAATTTCTTGGTTTAGTTGTAGTAGTGCTTCCGAATACATCGACTCCTGCGGGAAGGTTTCCAGGCTTAGCAGTAGCTGTGCTCCCAAAATTGAACTTTGACTTCTTTTCTGCAGGTTTTAATATTTGAAAAGAGCACATCAGAGTATCATCAACACTCATCATAGCACCAGCATTGTCAAACTCCCCACAATAATTGGGTGCTGAAAATATGGTTATGAGTTGTCGATTAGCAAAGAACTCATACCCATCCTCTACAACCTGCAATTAAAATTTAAGAATATCTTAGTTATTTGATTTTTAAAATTGATATGACCTCTTAGCCACCATTGTCAGTTCGTAGGATTGTACTGAATGGACCAACAGGCACCAAACATATTGCTAAAATTCTACAATGAAAGTCCAATAAATAGAAGTACAGATATGCATATTAATGCCAAACAGCAGAAGTTGCCTATAATATAATTGTAGTATCCTAAACAGGGACAAATCACCATCCCTCCCATTGATAGAATTCTCCACGGTCGAAGTAATACAGAGAACATAAACCTTAAGTGGGAATAAACTATAATAGGTGGTGAAACCTGGTGAGCACGGCAAATAAGATCCAGGTCATGCTTTTGTAGGAACTCTGTCACCTTGTCAGCATCAAATGTAAATGAAACTCCGCGGTCATTATTCCCCCAACCTTGAACATCTTTACTGGGATCTGACCAGAGAAGATCACACAGCAAACCAGATTCAGGTACATCAGTTGGGCGTTGTAAATTTCGAATTTGGTCCAAACTATGCAGCTCAGGAGAGAGACCCCCATGCATGCAGAGAATCTTCTCATCAATTAGGGCTGCAACTGGTAAGCAGTTAAAGCAATCTGTGAAGACCTTCCATAACCGAACATTGAATCTTCTCTTACACTCATCATAAAATCCATATACACGGTTAATTGAAGCGCATTCATGGTTTCCCCTCAAGAGGAAAAATTTTCTAGGATACTTTATTTTATAAGCAAGGAGAAGGCATATTGTCTCTAGACTCTGCTTGCCCCGATCCACGTAATCCCCCAAAAATAAGTAAGTAGCTTGAGGAGGAAATCCACCATACTCGAAAAGCCTTAGAAGATCAGAATATTGACCATGAATGTCACCTGAGCATTACAAGAGAACACCATCAGAAAGAGATTCTGAATCATGTCCTTACACTAATAAGAAAGCTGAAAAATATACATTAACAAACAACGCTTTCATGTTTTAGTTTGCGAAGTCATCACTCATCAGCCGGTTGCGTAATAAGCATATCCATTGCTGCCAATGGAAAAGGACAATTAAAACACTTACTAAACAAAAGCCAATTTAATTCAGGGACATGCACAAATTTTACATTGGAGTGTTAAGCAAATATTGTAACCTCATTCAATTGAATCATGATAATAAATTGCTTTTAATTTAATGTACTCCACTTTATATCCGATATTTTCACAGAAGTGCATACGACCCAAGTTCATTGAAAAAGATTCTTGAATTATCTATATGAATATCAGTATTAGTTGAAATAATTTTTGCTTTATTTCATTATCTCCTTAACATGCTCCTGTTTTTCCTTAATCTTCGTCAATCTTTAATTTTTGAGTCTATTAGTCAAAAGTATCTCACCAAATAGTCTTTCCCATCATTTCATGATTAAACTCCCACTTGAGTCCCAAGGAAAAGTATATCAGACAACAGATTTGTTTCAGAAATCAAAATTTCCAAGTTGCACGGTCAATCAATAACCCAGTGACGAGGCTCCTGCACTAAGAGGTCTAGGGAGGGTCAGACGAACATTACTTTTCCTCCGCATGTGGAGAGGCTGTTTCTAGTATCGAGCGCATGACCTCCAGGTCACAATGGACCAACCTTATCATCCTTGCGCCCAGGCCCGCCTTCCTGGTGTAAATAGCTTTATCAATATTCCTCTCCTGGTGTAAATCAGTAGATATCCCCTATCACGGTGGTCAATCAAGTGACCCTTGTTAGCAGTGCTATAAAATTATATATATCAAATTCCCAGTGCGAGCTCTATTATTTTGTTCACCTTTCTTGGCATCAATGATCTTCAGAACCAGAGCATAGATCAATAGAGGCATAGATTGGAGATACATTTTCAGCCATCATATGAAATGTGGTAACATAAGTAAGAGACACGTCACCAGGTTAATCACAACCTCAACCTAGGCCTTGTAGACCATGCATTCCCATACACTAAAAGGTCATCCCCAATAACGACAGTCACTTGTGGCAGTTGTTTTAGAACATAAGACGAGCTACCCAACTGTTCGCCTGATTATGGTGTCATCACATGCCACTGGTTTCAACATTCAGGCTGTATGTGCTCCACCCCCCCCCCCCCCCCCCCCCCTCCAAAAAAAAAAAAAAACCCTTTCTTTAGCACATCACAATTAATTTAGAATTTCTTTATCAGATTCAATTATTTTAAATTCCAATTCAGTTTATCCTTGAACAACAATATTTTAAATAATACACTATTAATAGGACACCTCCACATACACATAACCAACTTGTAGATACATTTTAAGCCATTCCTTATTCAAAGATTTGGAATCCAAGGAGGTCCCACAGTTAAACACACACCTGAAACTGATAGACATACTGTAGTCCATGTAAACATGTAACATTGGAGGTCTTCATAGGCAGGAGGCATGTTGACATGAACCTGACAGACATACCATAGTCCATGACTCCGTGTAAACATATAATATTGTAGGCCTTCATAGGCAGGAGGCACATTGACTCCTGCACAAACTTAATTTGGCATGCCTACACCAGTAGCAAGTTCATAAATTCCTCAGGATATATTAAATTAGTTAGATAAGAAACAAATAGCATAACAATGGCCAACCTACCTTACATGACCCACTTAACCTCAGAATTCACAACCAATCAAATGGATGAACAAAGGGTTCAAACAAAATAGACCTGTTAAAACTGGGATTTACATTATGCCACTCTCTTCCTATCAAAATTTATTCTACGCTATTGTATCAAGATTGAAATGATCTGAAACTTGATGTCATTCATAGGGTTCACTTGAAAATGGGCGATGATTCTACAAACTGAGAGGGAGGAGGGATTACCAAAAATATCACACCCATCCACTAGATCAAAAGTCTAATAGGACGGCATATCTCAGTGACTCAAGCCGGAAAGAGAAAACCACTGCATCAGACTTGGACACTCAATTAGGGCTTTTAGTCTCGTAACAGTGTGACTAAAGCACCTGGAACTCATCACTCCACAAGACAATCTAACTATATTATGTCCTTCTCAACTATCATGTCGAAGCCTGGTTTGGAACTATCAAAATAACCTCCCAGTTAAACCAATTAACCAAATATTATTCTTACAGAACCCAATTTATGTGTACGGTAAGGCTTGTACTTACAAGGTCCAGTTCATCTGTATGGCAATGTTTTAAACCAGAACCATTCATCAAACAGGATAAGTGACCAGGGTAAGGGTTGACAGTTCAACTATGGGGCCAACCAAAAAGAACTATGATACACAGGGCATCATAAAAATATAACATTTAATTTGAAAGTAAGAAACAAATAAAATAAACATACACCTGAGCCTACAAGGCATTTACAGCTGCCCTCCTAGATGCGCAACACTAAGTAATCCAAGCCAACCCACATTACTCACCAATGGTGGATAATGATTTTTCTTAGAGGTACTAAATACAACGGCGTCATAAAAACATAACAATTAATTTGAAAACGAAAAAACAAATAGATTAAACATACACCTGAGCCTACAAGCAAAGTTAAACTAAGAACAATTGCACTCAACTCAATAATATCTTATCCCAACAATTTGGCTTCAGTTACATGAATTAAATTTAGCCATTCTGTTAAATCTAAGGCTACGTTTGGTGTGCAGGAATGGAATGAAATGCAACTTAGAATGGAATGAAATGCAACTTAGAATGGAATGAGTATTACCATTCTAATGTTTGGTGTGACACGGTGAATCGTTATGGAATGGAATAATTATTACCATTCTATTGTTTGGTTGACTATCATTAAATATGGAATGAAATGATTTTTCTCAAAAATACCCTTTTCATTATTTTTTAATAAAATCAATCTAATTAATATTTTGTCAGTACAATTTTATCCAAAAACGGGTTGAATACTTAACCTAAGAAGCTGATGTAAAGGCTAAAATATATATATATATTTATTTAATAATACATCAATCTCAATAATATATAAAATATATATATATATATATATATTTTTAATAATATATATTTTTTTTTTAATAATATATATATATATATATATATATATATATATATATATATATATCATTAATGATATATCAATCTCAATAATATAATATATATATAATATGGTTGAAGGTCCTATAACTTTTTATCAATAGCAGTTCTGGGTATATTCAGAAGATTCTGGGTATATTCAAAAGAGAATGAAGGTGCAAGACCTGTACCACGTCTAATAAAAAAGCTTTAGAAACGTGAAAAATGGAATGTGAAAGATTTTTGGTCTATGCAAAATATTTTTGCCTTATTGGAATGTGATGAAGGGCTTATTGGGAATATTAGAAAAATATTTAATCTTACTATGGAATGGAATGGCCATTCCATAGGTTTAGTAATGGAATGGATTTTCATTCCATTCCTGCACACCAAACAAACGAATGGTTGGAATGGGCATTCCATTCCATTCCATTCCTGCACACCAAACGTAGCATAAAGGTGGTATCAGAGGCTCGATTTGATCACTTATTAATTAAAACTAATAAGTTTCTTTGTTCATCAACAATTCTAACACCACAAAAATTAATGTATCAAACACAACTACTAATTATACCACCTAACACACATGTACACAAAAAATTTCTAGATAGATCAGAATTAACTTCCCTACAATAACGCCATACCTGAATATAGAGCCAATTGAACGAGGATAAAGTTACAACCAAGAAATAATTGAAATCCATCCTACCAATTGAATTTTCAATCAAATCATTAAGAACAGAGAAAAGGAAAAGAACACCAAGCACCACCATGGTTCGAAGATACAGACATGGTGTAATGGGTGTGGGACCGAATTGGGCATAAGTCGTAACATAACAGAATCGGCCATGCACATATGGCCAAAACATACCCTTGTGCAATTTTTTGTTACAGAATCAAATAAATATGTATGTTTAATGAAGTTTAGTGATTTTTTTTAGTTTAATGCAAGTAGTGGCCCGTACAACAACACAATTAGTAGTTCAAAGAAACAACTCACTACTTTTAATAATGTCAAGGACATAATTCCTAATTCAAACTCAAAATGGAAAATTTTAGGAGCAAACCTAATTTTGTAACCTATTAATCTAAATAATGTTAAGGAAATACTTTTCCAACTCAAAATCAAAACGTCATCAGAAACAATCCCAGCAAAATCAGCACAGCAAAACCCAAATATTGAAATTACTACTTAGACCAATTTCAAAAGAAGCAATAGAGATGCATCATAAGATTGGGCATAATAATGTCCACCTCATGCCCACACAAAGCTCAATAACAATAGGGAAAACACGGGATTTGTATAAGCATAAAAGAAAACTATACAACAAAAACATAAGCCAGGTGGTGGAAAGTAATAAAAGAGCAGCTTCAGGACAATTACAGCCATAACTTCGGCTACTCAGAAATCTTAAATTCATGATTCAGCCAATTACAGTAATATATATGTACGAAAAAAAAAAGAAAAAGGCCATAACCAGCCTAGATGTGAACATCAACGTCTAAAGGATTTGGGATCATACAACAGAGCAAAATAAGCAAAGAATAACAGCAGCATTGACAATCTTCAACATGATCTCAAAAAGTATGAACTGATTTTCCAAAACATATTATTTTACTCAAATTTTATGATTGAATGCAAACAAATACCATAACTAGACCAAGAGCATACTTCTCAAAAATCAATTGGGTAAGTCAAATAAAAGAAGTGAACAAAACACATTAAAGTCACAACACCGAGAGAAAAATATTCTAACTCAAATCCCTCCAGAAGGAGAATCATCATAACACCCGGCTATATATTGTCAACTTCCAAACAATTTCAGAAGAAGCATATTAATTGGGACTTAAAAGATGATTTTGCTTAACTGATCAAAAGTCGAAAACAACCCAACAAAAATATGCAATTTAATTCATACAAAGCGCAACAATTCCAAACTAACACAATAAAATTATTCAGCATATAACAAGTAATAAATTACGTTTAAACCCTAATCACAAACTCAACAAAATCAAATATGGAGCAACCCATCACCAAAATTATGATACCTAATCCACCCTGACAGCACAAAATCATGTAAAACAAAATGTAGATTACAAAAAGTAATACAATTGACAAACCCAATACAAGTACATCGAATTACCAACAGCCAAAACAAAAAATAACGAAAGAAGACGAAACCCAAGTGGGGGCATATGGTATAGCATACCACAAATCTTGATGGGTGCCTCAAGCTCCAATAAATTGGGCTGTTGCAGGAAAATCTCTCTAGAAACTACACAAAGTTGCTTGATCTCCGGCTCCGATAGCGGAACCTGCTTCCCGGGTTTCCCTTTCACTTGAAGAAGTCGATTGATTATATTGTCTAGAACAACTGTGTCCATTTTTTTGTGAAATTTTCTAAACCCAGAAGTCCTCTATATATACAAGCAAGTCTATATATATATATATATAGTTATATCTATGCGTGCTTGTTAAAAAGAAAATTGAAGAAGAAAAACAAAAGGGTATGGAGGGTATTAGTGAAGGAGAGAATTTAGAAGTTGGGAAGGAGAAACAAATGATTTCATTTTGGATATGGTCAGTGTCGTGTGAGGATTGAAGAGAATTTGAAACATTCCTTGTTGATCGGGTGAATTAAAAGCGAAAAGCAAAAATTCCCTTTGGAGCATTTGAGAGAGAGAAAGCATATAAACTTTGAAAAAAGAGAGAGGGAGGTTAGAGAGAGGGGGGTGGGGGGGCGGTGAAAAGAGGGAGAGAATTGGAAATTTGGAGTCAATGGAGCTGTGACAAAGGGCTGACTTATGTGAGGAGAATGGGTGCGCAGTGCGCAAGATGAATCAGTGGAAGTTGATTACAGCTACAGTACGTAATGCGCACTTTATAAAGATAGGGTGTGTTGGTGGTCCACCATTGGAAACTTTGTAAGAGGGAATCACCAAAAGAACGAACTACATAGTATATTTTTTAATAGGTTAGTCTCACCGACAGCTCTTGTGTTTGGTGAAATATTAACATTGGTAATTTTATCTTTTATTTTTTAGTTACAAATGTACAAAATGATAATTTTATTACTGTTTTTTAATCTATTTTAATTCAAAATATCAAAATCATGAAATGATTAAATTATTCTTATTTATTACTCTGTCACTCCAAACCAATTTGCAATATCTCCCCATATATATATATATATATATATATATATATATATATAGATTTAGCAAACACAATAGTCGGGAATTTCGATCTCCCACGATGCATGCGCCTACATAAATTCCTTTATTTCTTCTTCTTATCATCTTCTCCAGAACCCCCAATTGACCAAACTTGAAACCTTATATATATATATATATATATATATATATATATATATGAATCAAGCGTAAAAAAACACCCCTCAAGTATGTTTATAGTACATATCACATTCTTTCCATGCAAAAAACACCCCTCAAGTATCAATTTAGTGCAATCAAGTCCCTCTGGCAAATTTAAAATCAAACTTGACTAAAGTACCCTTAGTCAATAATTTTATAAAATATATAAAAATACAAAATTTTATAAAAAGACCAAAAAGGACAATAATTAAAAGCCCTTGCCTCTCACGCGACAGTCGCCACTGGCAAGCAAGGAGAAGACGGGCTTTGCCGTCATTGCACCGCCATCAGTCCAGCCGAGCCTCATCACAGCCAAAGCCACCGCCTAACCGAACCCATCTCACTGATCGTCCATCTCCGCCGGTCCACCGATTCAAAGCTCACTGCCGCACTCCGTCCCAAGTCGCCTTTTCAGCCATCTAGTCCGCTTTTGTCGCTGTCGAAGAGGTTGTGATTTTCGCGGATGTTGTGAATCTGGCCGTGAAGAAGCTCGGTGGATGGAGAAAAACACACCGGCGACTATGAATCCGGGGATGGGTGGGCGGCCAACAAGATCTCACGGTGGTTATGAGCAAAAGGCGGTGGAATCGGTTGGACTGAACTCAGCCGTGATGAAAACGGCAGCTCACGGCTTGATGGCAGCGATGATTGATGGCGATAATGGATGTGCACGGCTAAGAAGGTGATGACAGTGATAGAGGCGGCGGCAATGGCGAGCAATAGATGGAGAACGGCAATGAGACCTTAGCCGGTGGAGGGCTAGACTGAATCGGCGGCAGACGAGCAACGGGCTGTGATGGTGAACTCGCGGCAGAGAGTAGAGAGAAAGAGGTGGGTCCTACCCATGAAAGGAGATTTGTACATTCAATTCATATTGAAACTGTATATGGTGTGTTTCATATGGTAAGAGATGAGAAGTCCAGAGTAAGAGACGCTGAGAAATGATTCTTGCCTTACAAGAGTCCAAGTATCTCTGATGCTCCTCTCTGTTGGTACGAGTCTAAAATATGGAGATATGAGGTTGTAAGACCAGGTAGATGCAGGGAATGTTAGAACTTTTCCTGCTTTTAGCTGTGTAATTATTAGTATATTTTAGCTTTTAATTGGATGTATGTTGATTCAGTGATGATGATGAAGAAAAGAGTGAAAGCAAAATTGGGTACAGAAAAAGACGGTGGTGGAAGGAATTGACGGCAGAGAGTAGAGAGTGGGGAGAGAAGGAGGGGTATTTTGGGAAGACTAAAAAGGCAAAATGGGTATTACAGTAATAATTTAGGTGTGTTTATTACACAGAGGGGTAATTTTGCACAATTGCAAAAGATTAGGGGTGTTTATTGCACACCTTTTCAAATAGGGGGTAAAAGTGCTACTCAGAGTATACTTAAGGGGTATTTTTTACACTTACCACACCCCCCCCCCCCCCCCCAACACACACACACACACACACATATTAGGTTGCAATGAGACTTTTCGATTGGATCTCGGTTGGATTATAACATAGCTTTGGTTTCGGTTAGACATTTATTTACCCAGCAAGGAGCTTTGGTTTTGTATGTCTCACCGATTTGAGTCTGCTGAAGTTTACAGATTTTGGGTCTATTGAAGCTCACTGATTTGGGTACATTGAAGCTCACCGATTTTGGGTCTATTGAAGCTTGTCTATTTTGGGTCTAACTAAGGTTCCTCTCTTGTTAGCGTAATGCTCCCTCCTCGCTTTCACCACTACCACAACTGAGGTCTCATCGGCGGCGGCGACTCCTCACTTACCTTGGTCATTGCCTGTTGTTACAGCTTCTTTGCTGACAATAATGAAGAAAAAGAAAAGAAAAATAAAATAAGAAAGGAAAAAGAAAAAAGTAGCGACCCACAGTTGCAGCTTTTTTGCCGGCAAAAATGAAGAAAAAAGAAAAAGAAAAAGACATATATCTAAAGAAGAAAAGGAGGAGAAAGCTGGTTGGTGTACATAAGAAATATATATATATATATATAAAGAATAATTATAATTATAATTTGGTAAATTCATAATTATAATTTGGTTGGTGTACATGATGACAAATATATATATATATATATATATATAAAGAATAATTTAAAATTTTTAGAACGAAGGTCAAAGGAAATTCAAGTCAATTAAACCATTTTTTAAGTCTACAGATAGTTAGAAGAATAACAATGTCATTTTATATGTAAAAATGTATCTAACACACTTGAAAAGTAACTTTTAGTTTTTGGTGTAAGTGAAATTTTTTTTACATGCAGTACTATGTCTGACACACACTTGAAAAGTAACTTTTGAGGTGTAAGTGAAAAAAGACTTGCAATGAAAGTGATATTTATTTAAAATGTTTCAATGTAATATTTGACTAAACTTAAAGAGGTATCATTAAAATTAACCATTTTTAATAATATATTGGAGGTACATTCCAATTTCTCTGTCTTATAATCTCATGTAAAAAAAAATTTATTCAACAATTTTTTTTTTAAAAAAAAAAATTTCCCTTATCCAATTTAATTTAACTCAAAACCAACAATAACTTTTAATTTTCTACTTTTCGAAAAGTAGATCGTAGAATAACTTTAGTCACGCGTTTTCTTATTAAAACTTGATTTTAACACTAAGTTAAATAATTCTTTAGGCATTAAGAGCCTTACACAAGTTCGGTTAGTTCTAATTTTGTTTCAATTCTAAGATAAATCAAAACCTAACCAATTTTACAGTTTCATAAATATTATAGTCCAACCGAACCTTTAGAACTAGTAGAGAACTGAATCAAACCGTAATTGATTGGTTTAATTTAGTTTGACTCTATAATTCTAGTAATTCTTCCAAAGCTTGTGTGTAATATCACACGTGGCTCTTTATTACCTCCTCTTACCACATTATAATAAAAATAATAATAAGTAAAATTAATTTTCACTTTTTTTTTTTTTCTTTTTTCAAAGTCCAATTCGAAAGTAAGCACAAGTGAAATCTTAGGAAGTATGAATACTTTTACAAAAGAGCCGTATCCGTGTTGGACACTGCACTCCTCGAATATATGTCCAACATATCATATACGTGTCTATAAATAAAAATTAATTTTGTTATTTCGGACAATTCACTGACACTTCCAAACATTTCTAATACAAGTCTATCTAGTAATTTTAAAAATAATATCAATATTATCTTGACAAAGTAATTAAATAATGATGAAATAGAAAATAAAATTATGTAATGATTTTATATATATATATATAAAATCATTACATAATTTTATTTTCTATTTCATTTCATAGCAATTCTTAATATATAAATTATAAATGAATTAAAATTTTATAATACTATTATTGAATAGATGTATAAAAATAAAAATTTACATTTATGTATAGCCGTGTCACCGCATCCTACTTTTTTAAAAATTTGACGTTCGACGTATCCGTGTCGTATCGTATTTGTGTCCATACTACATAGGTAAAATCAAATTTAGTTTTTAAAAAATGTAAAATAAAAATTTATACAAAAGCTAATTTAGTTGGATTTTTGGAAACGGTTTTCTAAAAACTCAGAAATTTTTAAAAAAATTGTCTTTAATAATTTTCTGAACACAATTTTCTCTTTTTTGCATTTTTGAAAAATGTTTTAAGAAAATCTGAACCAAACTGATTTTCTCCAATTTTTTCGATTTTCTATCTGAAACTCTTAAAAAAATTAATTTCTTTTACTTACCCCCTTTTCCCTCCTAAACAAACCAAAGCCCAACCGTCCCAAGGCTTTCCTTTTAATCATTTCTCATCAATATAATGTAATAACATTTCTGGCAAAAAAAAAAAAAAAAACAAAAAAGAAGTACAAAAAATAGTTTTAATAAAAGATTGTTAACTACCATTTATGTATCCTTTAATCTTGTTAATAAATTCAATAAATCAGTTCAATTACATATATGATATATCTAAAGCACAAAGTCAAGGAGATGGATAAGTTGAGAGAAGAGAAGAGAGAAATGTGAACTTTTTAAATGTAATTGACCAATTGCCAAATAAAATCACATTACCCATGTAACTTTTACATTATGATGAACGCTATTTGGATCCTACACAAGCAAACTGCCTTCTGCAACTGGCATGATAGGCTTCATTTCTGCTCCATTTTTTACTGTCTAGTAGTAACTGCATACAAAAAAAAAAAAAAATTAAAAAATGCAACAATTAATAAAATATTCATGGACACAATGCAATATTAATAAAGGTAAGGATTTTCTTTTGCATAAAGAATTATCCAAAATTACCTATACATGATCTGCAGCACCGGAATGTCTAGTTTGAATTTAAAATGCAATAGACAAAGACTTATTTGTGTCGGGAAGAGGATTAATTGATGGAGGTGACAGCAATGAAAAATGTAAATAATTGCCGCTTAACAACAAAATTAAAAAAAATATATACATTTTTCGTCCAACAGCTCAACATTGAGGTATTAAAAAAGGCCAATGCTATTTAGAACCAAAACTTAAACCCAGAAGGCTAGCCTACAGATTTCTATCCATTGGATGTATTAAATAACATTGAAGTATTGGTCTTACCCAATTCATCCAAGGGATAGAAATCCCTTGGCTAGCCTTTCCGGTTAGAGTTTTAGGCTTGAGAATCATTATTCTTCCATTTATGCCATCTGAAAGTTGTGATGAAAAAACTGGGAAAATTAGAAGGGAAAAAAAAAAAAAATACTCTAGCGTAGTCTATGGTTTGACACTAGTCCAATGATAATCATCAATTTATATATTTGAAGTGGCAAAGATTTCTTTACCTTAACTCCTGTTGGAAAGTTTCTTGGTTTAGTTGTGGTGGTCCTCGCGAAAACATCGACTCCTGCAGGAAGGTTTCCAGACTCCCTTTTCTGCAGGATTAAATTTTTGAAAAGAGACCATCAGAGTATCATCCACACTCATAATAGCGCCAGCATTGTCAAACTCCCCACAAAAATTGGGTGCTGAAAATATGGTTAAGAGCCGATTTGCAAATACCTTGTATCCATTTACAACCTGCAATAAAAATTTAAGAAAAGGCTTTAGCCACCATTGTCAATTCTTAGAATTGTATTGAATGGAGCAACGGGTACTACTAAAATTCCACAATGAAATTACGGTATATATATATATATATATATATGTATAAGTGAACACAGCAGAAGTTTCCCATAATATAATCGTAGTACCCTAAACAAGGACACATTACCATCCCTCACATTGATACATTTCTCAACAGTTCGACTAGTATTACAGTAAACATAAACCTCAAATGAGAATAAACTATAATAGGTGGTCAAACCTGGTGAGCACGGACAATAAAAACCAGGCCGTGCTTTTGTACGAACTCTGTCACCTTGTCAGGACCAAATGTATATGAAACTCCGCAAACAGTATTCGTCCCCCAACCTTGAACATTGTTACTTGGATCTGACCAGAGAAGATCACACAGCAAAACCAGCATTAGGTACATCAGTTGGGCATTGTAAATGTCGAATTTGGTCCAAACTATACAGCTCGGGAGAGAGACCCCCCATGAATGCAGATAATCTTCTCATCGATTAGAGCTGCCACTGGTAGGCAGTTAAAGCAATCTTGGAGGACCTTCCATAACCTAACATTGAATCTTCTCTTACACTCATCATAAAATCCATATATATGGTTAGTTGAAACACAGTCATGGTTTCCCCTCGAGTAAAAAAATTCTGGGATACTTTATTTTATATGCAAGGAGAAGACATACTGTCTCTAGACTCTGGTTGACCCAATCCACGTAATCCCCCAAAAATAATTAGCTTGAGGAGGAAATCCACACACTTGAAAAGCCTTAGAAGATCAAAATATTGACCATGAAAGTCACCTGAGTGTTATAAAAGAACAACATCAGAAGAAAGATACTGAATAATGTCCTTACACTAACAAAAAAAGAGATGAAAAATGTACATTAATAAATAACGCTTTCATGTTTTAGTTTTGTGAAGTCATCACTCATCAGCCAGCTGCGTAATATGTATATCCATTGCTGCTGCCAAGGGGAAAGGAAAATTATAACACTAACAAAACATAAGCCAATTTAATTCCAGAACATGCACAAATTTCACACTGAAGTTTTAAGCAGATATTGGAGCCACAGCCAATTGAATCATGATAATAAATTGCTTATATAAAATGTAGTCCACAATATGGCCGATATTTTCACAGAAGTGCATGCAACCCGAGTACACTGAAAAAGATTCATGAATTATTTATGAATTTCAGTATTAGTTGAAATAATTTTTGGTTTACTCATAATTTTTACTTGATTCGGAGATTCCCTGATAACAATTAACACACGTGTATTTCATTCTCTCCTTCACACGCTCCTGTTTTCTCCTAATCTTTGTCAATCTTTAATTTTGGAGTCTATTGGTCAAAAGTATCACACAAAATTGTCTTCAACTCTAGCTTTGCACAATTTCATGATTAAACTCCCACTTGCATTCCAAATGGTGATATCATTTAGTCAAATGAATGAAGAGGTTTCATCGAAGGATAAGTATATTAAGACAAAAGTTTGTTTCAGATTCACACATGCTTAGTTGCACAGTCATGCCCTATACGAGGCTCCCGCATTGAAGGGTCTGGGAGTGTCAGATTTACACAACCTCCGCTCCGCATGTGGAGAGGTTGTTTCCAGTTTCTAACTCATGACCTCTAGGTCACAATAGAACAACCTTACTGTTGCGCCGTGACCCACCCTTTTGGTGTAAATAGCTCTATCGATATTCCTCTCCTGGTGTAAATCAATCAATATCCCCTCTCACGGTTGTCAAGCAGGTGACCCTTGTTAGCAGTGCTATAAAATTATATAGATCAAATGCCCAATGCAAGCTCCATTCTTTCCTTCATCTTTCTAGGCATCAACGATCTTGAGAACCAGTGCAGAGGTCAACAGAGGCAGAGATTGGAGAGACATTTTCAGCCATTTGAAACCATCATATGCAATGTGGTAACACAAGTAAGAGACAAGTCAACAGGTTAATCACAACCTCAGCCAAGGCTCTGCTAACTATGCATTTCCATATGCTAAAAGGTTGCCCCTAATAACAATGTTCACTTGCGGCCAGTTTTTTTTGAACATAAGACGACCTACCCAACTGTTCACCTGATTATGGAGTCACATGACTCCTTTCAGAAAACATTTAGTCAGTATGTGCTCCATGGACCCCCCCAAACCCCTTTCTTTACCACATCACACTTGATTTAAATTCTGATTCAGTTAATCCTTGAAGAACAATATTTTAAATAATACTACAAACAGGACACCTCCACATAAACATAACCATTTTATAGACATTTTAAGCCATTGCGTATTCTAAGATTTGGAATCCAAGTAGGTCCCACACTTAGACACACACCCAAACTGATAGACATATCATAGCCCATGTAAACATGTAACATTGTAGGCCTTCATAGGCAGGAGGCACATTGAGTCCTGAAAAACCTTAAATTTGGCATGCCTACACCAGTAGCAAGTTCATAAATTCCTCAGGATATAGAAACTTAGTTAGATAAGAAACAAATAGCACAACTATGGCCACCCTACCTTACACCCACTTAACCTCAAAATTCACACCCAATTAAATGAATGAACCTAGGGTTCAAACAAAATATACCTGTTAAAACTGGGGCTTACATTATGCCACTATCTTCCTATCAAAATTTATGCTACTTTCTTGTATAAATAATCTGAAACTTGATGTCATTTGATAGAGTTCACTTGAAAAAGGGTTGATGATTCTACAAGCTGAGAGGGATGAGGGATTACCAAAATATCACGCCCATACACTAAATCAAAAATCAAAGGACGACATATCTCAGTGACTGAAGCCAGAAAGAAAAAACCACAGCATCAGACTTGGAATTATCTATAACACTCAATCAGGGCATGCAGCAGTGTGACTGAAGCGCCTCGAACTCATCACTCCACAAGACAATCCAACTATATTATGTCCTTTTCAAATATCATGTCGAACCCTGGTCTGGAACTATCAACAAAACCTCTCAGTTAAACCAATTAACCAAATCTTATTCTTCTAGGGCCCAATTTATGGGTACAACAAGGCTTGTACTGACAACTGAGAGGGCTGTTTTAAACCAGAACCATTCATCAAACAGGATAAGTGACGCGGCTAAGGGTTGACAGTTCAACTATGCGACCAACCAAAAAGGACTACGATAAGAACCATTCTTCAAGCTTCCCTTCCTTACAAAGTGCATCCCAATTTCTCTCTTCCATCTTCTTAACCAATTCAATAGCTGCGCTGGTGTTCCCTGTTTTGCACAACCCATCTATAATGGTTCCACAAGTAACTTTATCAGGTCGAAATCCTTTTGCCCCCATGTCATTAAACAACTCTACTGCCAGACCTATTTTATCCTCGCTGCAGAGTCCCCTCATCAAAGTGTTGAGCATTGTACAATCCACTTCATAACCAAGCTTCAAAGTTCTCCCCAGAACAGAGAAACCCAAATCGACCCGATTCAAATGGCAGTAGCAATTCATCAAGAAGCCCAGAGTATAAGCGTCTGGCTCTACCATTCCAGAGGATTCCATTTGATTAAGTAAAGAAATTGCAGTGGTGTAATGTTTCATTCTCACAAAGGCCCCTAACAATTTAGTAAAATGCACAATTGAAGGAAGAGGTCGCATTTGAGACATTTTATCAAACAGTGCGAGTGCACCGTCAAGGTTTGTGAACTCAAATCTTAATTGATTTCTGACAGACTTCATAAACCGGGTTTGACTACAAGTAAAGTGAGGTTTTTGATCATTACCAGTTTGGGAATGAAACGAAGCCCTTAAATTGTTGCAAGCAAATGGATAATCAATGAAGAAATTAAAACAATGCTTAAGAGAAGTTGCAGACTTGCGGATACCACCATATCTACACTTTGAAGAGGCAATAACACTCCTTTTAATCATCGTTCAGCTCCTCTCTCTCTCTGTGTGTGTGTGTGTGTGTGTGTGTGTGTGTATATATATATATATAAAGTAAAACAAAGTCACCTGAAGCTGGTTGGCTATTTTTATTCTTCGGACAGGTTGCAATGGGCTAACATGAAATACTTAGATTAGAGGTCGTATTTGTTGATGCAATGTTTTGTCACCATCGTTTATAAAAGAAAGTGGTAATCAAAAGGGCTCTTCTGCAAAGATGACAACTGGTATATAAACATGTCCGTGCTAAATGGTTTCTACTTCTCAAAGGAGGATATGAGCTGTGTGAATACCAATTAAAAAAAAACAGAAAAAGAGAATGTTGTACTGGTTAGGTGCTCTTTCCTGATTTGTTAATATGAAAGAAAAGTCCTGTATATAATATATATATATATATATGTGTGTGTGTGTGTTCAACCGTAATTTTTTTTGCTTGTTAGTGGTTAAGCTCAACCGTAAAACTTCTTTTATTACCCTCTCAATTTTAATTTAGGAGAATTGGAAATGGTCGTTTTCATCCTCATCTCCAATATAACTTATTTTATTTCTTCTATTTTTTTTTATTGTTTGAACTTCTCTGTTGATTTAAAATTTTATATTAATTGCCTTCATTCCCGAACTTGTCCGTTAAACATAAGTACCGCTAAGATTAATGAGGGATCTTATAATATTTACGGTTCTTTTAAACTTTGCCACTTTTATCTGAAGGGATGGGACATTAGAACTCCATATTTAGGTAACACTGTCCTTCCAAGCATTTAAGAACTCAATCCATTATCTCGCCATAACATATTGTTTATTGTTTGTATCCCCGAAATTAAGTCCAAGAAGATTCAACTTTCAGACCACTTGAGAGTGGGATAGAGTAAGAGATTTACTGTTTCTTCATATGCACAAGCACCGTTTACAAGTTGCATTATCTCTAATTTTGTCCCTCTTAGAATAAAGTTAGCAAGTAATCTGTCGTACTTTATGAAATGAGTCAATGAACATGACAATTTCATAAAACTATGAATTTTGAAATGTGAGTGAATGTATTCATTAACAATCTGAAATGTAGCCTACTTAATTTTTATGATTCTGAATTTTAAGAATCCACACAATTTATTGCTTTGAATTTCAGAGCATGTGTTACCTTCCAAAATAAATAAATAAATAAATAATAATGATATGAACATGTTTGTACAATTCAAGAACATGGCCTACACAAAAAGACAAGATGTTACGAGTCCAACAAGTAAACCAACTATAACTTTGAACACCAGACTCTTGATGCTAAAACAGCTTCCTAATAAATCAAAAGATGTCTTCACAAAATCTTTTGTTGAATGGCAAAAAGCCTCCTACCAATAAAGTGAAAGCCCCTTTCCATTGACAAATTGTGCACCATGCTCATCCAAAATTCCTTCTCTCTTTGCAATGCCTTTGAATCTATATTTTCAGTGTTCCGGACTTCCTTTGTAATGCCTCGGAAGCTATCTTTTCAGTAAGTGTCCCGAACTTTCTCTTCCGTATCATTGGCTCTTTTATTAGCTGCCTCCACTTCTGCACGACTACAGTGACTTGATGGAGTGCGCTTTACGCCATAACCAGACCCTTCTTGCCAAGTATGGGGCGAAAAATAGCAGTTCCATCAACCGGGCCAGCACCCTTGGAAGCAGCTATTTGAGACGGCGCGATCATCTCTTCCTACACATGTAGGTTAGAAAGTCAAGTTGCTGCAAGAAGCAAAAGGAAACTAGGGTCAAAAATGTTATTAATATATGGACAAAATAATAACACATACCCGGGTCTGAAGAAGCTCTCAAGGAAGGTCCTCAAATCCATCTCATTCATGTCAGCCCGCTTAAAGGAAACAAGCATGCAACTAAACAATCCAATGGAGTTCCACCAAAAATATATATCACGCCCATACACAAAATCAAAAGTCTGACAGGACGACATATCTCAAGTGACTGAAGCCAGAAAGAAAAAAAAAAAACCACAGCATCAGACTTGGAACAATCCCGTAGCACGTAATCAGGGCTTGTAAGTCTCATAACAGATTAACAGTGTGACTGAAGCATGCATCTGGAACTCATCTGGAACTATGATACGCGCACGTAAGATAAAGTTACAAATTTTTGAAAGTAAAGGTAAAACATAAACCCGAGTCTACAAGAAAAGTTAACAATAGCACTCAACTCAACCCAACAATATCTTATCCCAACTATTTGAATTCAGTTACATGAATCTTATTTAACCATTCTGTTAAATCTAAAGGTGGTATCAGAGGCTCAATTTGATCACTTTTTAATTAAAGCTAACAAGTTTCTTTGTTTATCAACAATTCTAACACCACAAAAATTAGAGAAAGTTGCAACCAAGAAATAATTGAAATCGATCCTACCAATTAAATTTTCAATCGAATCATTAAGAGCAGGGAAAAGGAAAAGAACACCAAGCACCACCATGGTTCGAAGATACAGACACGGTGTAACAGGCATGGGCCTGAATTGGGCGTAAGTCATGACATAACGGAATTGGCCACACACATATGGCCAAAACGTACCCTTACTCAATGTTTAACTATAGAATTTAATAACACATATGGCCAAAACGTATCCTTACGCAATTTATTTACTATAGAATTTAATAAAATTTATGTTTAATGAATTTTAGTGATTTTTGTGCACGAAATTTAACTCAGTTGTCGGAAACAAAAGCTTAGAAGTTTATGCTTTTTTACTGAAGTAACAAGTCAAAAGAGACCTAAACGTAAAATAAATGAGAATGTTGATATATAACACAAAAAATAAAACAACATTGCATGTTAGATCTAATCTTCAAAATTAAATAAATAAAAAACCAGCCTTGATGTTATAATCAACGTCTAAAGTATTTGGGTTCATACTTGAGAGCTGAATAAGCAAAGAATAACAGCAGCATCGACAATCTTCAACAAAATCTCAGAAAGAAGGAATTTCTGTATAGTATGAACAGGTTTTCCAAAACATATTCTGTTATTCAAATTTTAGGATTGAATGTAATAATTACCATAACTAGCACCAAGAGCATAATTCTCAAAATCAATTGAGCAAGTCAGATATAAGAAGTTAACGGAACACATTAATGTGATGATACCAAGAGCAAAAAAAATCCCTCCAAAAGGAGCATCATCGTAACACCCAACTATATATCTTCAACTTCCACACAATTTCAGAAGCAGCATATTTTTTATTTATTTATTGATAATTAATCAGAAGAAGCATATTAATTGAGACTTAAAAGATGATTTTGCTTAACTAATCAAAAGTTGAAAACAACCCAAAAAAAATATGCAATTTAATTCATACAAAGTGCAACCATTTTAAGAAAATTATACAGCATATAGCAAGTAATGAATTATATCTAAACCCAAATCACAAACTCAACAAAATCAAATATGGAGCGAACCACCACCCAAATGATAAAATCCAATTAACACCAAGAGCACAAAATCATGAAAAACAAAATGCAGACTACAAAAAGTAAAACAATTAACAAAATCATTACAAGTACATCAAATTACCAACAACCAAAACACAAAATCACAAAAGAACACCAAACCCAAGTGGGGGTCATTAGGCATATAATATAGTATACCACAAATGATGGGTGCTTGAATTCCAATAAATTGGGTTGTTGCAAGAAAATCTCAATAGAAACTACACACGATTGTTCCATTTCCTACTCGGATAACTGAACCTCCTTTTCCTCTCACTTTAAGAAGCCGATTGATTGTATCGTTAGGAACAACTGGGTCCATTTCTTTTTGTGATACAAAACCCAAAAGTCGTCTATATATATATACGCAAATATATTTATATATATAGTTATATATGTGTGTCTTGTGTGCTTGTTACAAAGAAAATTGAAGAAGAGAAACAAAAAGGGTGTGGAGTGTGTTAGTGAAAGAGAGAATTTAGGCAGAACAAGTGATGTCATTTTGGATATGGACAGTGTCATGTGAGGATTGAAGAGAATTTGAAACATTCCTTGTCGATCAGGTGATTTTAAAGCGAAATGTGGAAATTCTCCTTGGAGGAGCAGAGAGAGAAAGAGAGAGGCACATAAACTTTGATACATAGTAAAAGAGAGTAGCAGGTTTTAGAGAGAGAAAAGAAAAAAAAAAGAAGAAAAAAAAAGAGAGATGGACTGAAAGTACTTTGTTGTAGTAAGTATTTCATTCACAATAATGAGTTTTAATTCTTATGGGTCTGACTCTCATACCAAGTGTAACTTGGCGTTGGGTTCTTTCCGGACCGACCTAAAAACTTAAGCCATTAGGTGATGTTAATGAAATGATTAATTCTTTTCTTTGGCAACTTCCATTTTATTAAAATCCAACCCTCGCCATTCAACACATGCCACAAGTAAACATAGTCCATCTTCAAATTCCAAAATGGAGAATTAGACATGTACCAGTTTTTTTTTCTTTAATTTTTTCTTCCTTCATTATTATTATTTTTTTTGGTGGACATGTTCAAACCTCTGATTTTACAAAATTGACTTGCCAAAGAAGAATAATAGCCCCTTGATATAAGGCATCCACTTATTATTTAAACCCAAAAAAAAAAAATGAAGAAGTTAGTTTAACAATGAGAGAGGAGTAACAATGAGAGAGGAGTAATAACATAAGCAAATAACATGACCAATAGAACTACTCAACATTTTGATTTGCCAGGTTTTATCTGCAACACTATGAAGTCTAACTATAGAACACTGGCTATAGAACACATCACATGATATAAACAATTAGTATCCAACTCCTGTCCAAGTGTCTAGCTATGAAGTCTTGGTTGACAGTTGAAAGTTGCATGATATAGTCCCATAAGCCTATAGTATCCAACTATTCTGGCATAATATTTTGTCAAGAAAGATCTTACAGACCAAAGAAGGAAGTAACTCTTCCACAAGTAAAAAAAAAAAAAAAAAAAGATGTTCGCTACCCAAAGCATCAATTCAGGGTTGTTTGCAAGCTAAGATAATGGAATCAAATATCTGACAGTGCAAATAGCAACTTCTATAAACAACTGAATATAAAATAAAGGGTGCATCTGAGAGTTCAAAGCAATTTCTTCTGGTTGAAAATAACCTCTAAAAGGTCTGATGGATTTAATAGAGGTGCCTTTTTTTTTCTACCCCTTAATGGGATGGTTATAATATTAACATCAAGCAATTAAATCAATAGGTAAGCAGGGTATACCCTCACCGTACAAAGTGCAGACAAGAAAGGAAAATGAAGTTGATGAGGTGCCATTCTTGTAACATCCCGACAGACCAAGGCAAAGCAGATAAGCACGCTCTGTTTGGTAAATTTCAGAGCTTTGAAACTTGTCTCTCTTTGGGATCATTCCCATATGCTTCAGCAGCAACTTTGCTTTCTTCAGATTCACCAAGCCACCTTCCTTATCTCATCTAGTCAACCAGTTTTATACAAATCACCCAACTCAGGTTCTCTCCTTCGTACTTCTCACGGAACAATAATTTCACCCCCAAAATATGAAGAAGACACTGATGCAAGCACCAATAGGCCATGCATACACCACACTGCAAGGTGGACAAATTATGAATCTTTCACCTAACATGTGAAACCCAAATAGAAATTACAGAAACTTATTGGCCATCTCCAAAACTGACTGATCCAAACCATTATTATTTGATATATTCAATAACAAGGTCATAATACCTGCATTAGTTGAGAATTCCTTCTCAACCATTTCTTGAAGAAGTTGCATTGCCCTTAGCGTCTCATTGTTTCGAAGAAATCCCCGCACAATCATATTGTAAGTGATACCATTGGGTGAGCAACCACTCTCTTCCATTTTCTTGAGCAACATGTTTGCTTCACTTAACAACCCACCCTTACAGAGTCCATTGATCATGATATTATATGTGTGAACATCAGGCTGCAACCTTTTGGAAGAAAGACCATAAAAGAATTCCCTTGCACCTTTAATGCTTCTAGCTTTGCACATACCATCAATAAGGATGTTGTAAACCACAATATTAGGATGTAGTCCACTTTCTTCCATCTCTCAAAACAAGGCCATTGCCTCAGCAAGACATTCGTTCTTACACAATCCATCTAACAAAGTAGAGTAGGTCATAAGATTAGAATGTTGGGCATGGGCTTGCATCTGGTTCAGAAGTTGTTGCACGGCTAGAGGTTTTCCCGCATGGCAAAAACCACTTATAAGAGTGGCGTAAGTAGCAGTATCAGGAACCAATCCCATCAGAGAAATTTCATGAAAAAGTCTTAAAGCCGCAGTCATTCTCCTTTTCTTACAATACCCATTAATCAAGATGTTATAGCTATGAATATTAGGGGCACAACCCCTACCAACCATCAAATCAAGTACCTTCTTTGCATTGTGAAATTTGCTTTGCAGACAATATCCATCCATCAGTGCACTGTACGTGACTGTATTAGGCTCCTCACCTCTTTGAATCATCAATTCAACTATTTCTCTAGCTTCTGCAACCTTCCCTTCCTTACAAAGTGCATCCACCACTATAGTGAAGGTTCTTACATTCCGTTCGATTTTTCGGTTCACCATTTCATTCAATAACCTTGTAGCCTCTTTCCATTGGTTTGAATTGCATAGGCCAAGGATTAAGGAGTTGTGAGTATAAGCATTTGGCAAAAAGCCTTTACGGATCATTTCTGAAAAGAGTTCGAAAGCCTCAGCTACCAATCTGTCCTTACAAAGACTGTCAATGGTCATGCTATAAACAATGACATTGGTTTCCCTTTCGCCCCCATGGCATTAACAACTCAACTGCCTGACCTATTTTATCCTCATTACAGAGTCCCCTCATCAAAGTGGTGAGTTTTGTGCAGTCCATTATAACCAAGCTTCAAGATTCTCCCCAGAATAGAAAAACCCAAATCGACCCGATTCAAATGGCAGTAACAATTCATTAAGATGGCCATAGTATAATCGTCTGGCTCTACAATTCCATCGGATTCCATTTGATTAAGTAAAGAAATTGCAGTGGTGTAATGTTTCATTCTCACAATGGCTCCTAACAATTGATTAAAATGCACAATTGAAGGAAGAGGTCGCATTTGAGACATTTCATCAAACACTGCCAGTGCATCATTAAGGTTAGTGAACTCAAACCTTCATTGATTTCTGACAGACTGGGTTTGAGTACTCGGACAGTGAGGTTTTTGATCTTTAACAGTTAGGGAATGAAACTTAGCCCTTAAATTGTCACTACCAAACGGATAATCAATGAAGAAATTAATACTGTGCTTAAGAAGTTGCAGACTTACGGATGCCCTTCTGAAGAGAGAGCGCACCACCATATCTACACTTGCTAGAGGCAGTAACACTTCTTTTAATCATCTTTCAGCTCCTCTCTCAATATCCATACACACACAGTCACACACTTATATGTCTGTGTATATATAAAAAAGTTGGCTATTTTTATTTTTCGGGCATCTTTCTATATATATATACACACACACACAGAGTCACACACAGCATCTAGGATTATTTCATTTCCAATTATTAGTATTAGATCAGTTCACACGTGAGGTTGGGGACCATCTTTCAGTGGGGTCCACACTAATTGTGGGAGTGAGTGATCTCATTCACTTCTTATTCCAATTAATAGCGTAGGTTGCAGTGGAATACCATGAAATACTTGTGTTAGACCAACATTTGGTTGTATTTGAATGTGTCCACAGATATTCAGCTTTTACTTTTGAGTAAGATTGGGTAGTTTTAAGCATTTGTTGACACCTTTTTTTAATAAATTTTGTATTAATGACATGACAACTAATTTGGATATAAATTGACACATAAAAAAAGTTACAGAAGGTACATTCGGAAGTAAAGGAGATTGAAGCATTTGAATTATTTAATGGATAGGAATTATAATTTTAGTATTTATCTTTTAGTTGATGTAAGTTAAATATTTATGTTTATTTTTAGGATTAGTTTATTTTAAACTTTTAGCTAGTTGGTTTATTTATAGGATTAGTTTATTTTGAATTTATAGTTAGTTGTGATAAAGTTGTAATGCAAGTAAAGTACTTGCATATAGGAGTTTGTTTCTATGTTTTATTTTATAAATAATCAAAGTAGCATGTTGAGATAGAAGTCCAGCACCATCAGAATCATTATATTTATTTGTTTGTTTTCTCAAGCAATTTCCCCAAATAGCATCCTTGCTATCTCTATCTCTCTCCTTATCTATTTTAGTCTCGTTCTGTTTCTCTCCCTATATCTCTGTCTCTCTATCTCTTCTCCCTATCACTTTCTATATCTATATTTTCTCCCCTTTCTATTATCATATTATTACTATATATTATTCACTGATAAAGTCATTTTAATTAAGGCAATTAGAACTCAAGGAGGAATTATATTTGTTCTCTTTCTCCTCGAATCGCCTGATAGTCAATATTCTCAAAGAGACTAGTGTTGACAACTCACACTCGAACCATATAATTGGTTCTGGCACGCCCACATTATTCAATTTTTTGTCATTAAAACATTTTTCGCTACTTCATAGGTAACTCGAATAAGTTAAATTCAAAACTTTCATTTTCTTTCAAAGATTCAATCTTTTTACATTAAAAAGATATAGTGACATAATATGTACCTTGATTGAAGTATTTTCATTCAAAGATTTAATCTTTACTCATTAAAACACTATTCGGGACGTCAAAAGGAATTCGAATAAGTTTAACTCAAAACTCTCATTTTCTTTCAAAGATTCAATCTTTTTACATTAAAAAGATCTAGTGACATAATAGGTACCTTGATTGAGGTATTTTCATTCAAAGATTCAATATTTACTCATTAAAATCCTCTTCGGGACGTCGAGGGAAACTCGAATAAGTTTAACGCAAAACTCTCATTTTCTTTCAAAGATTCAATCTTTATACAGTAAAAAGGTCTAGTGGCATAATAGGTACCTTTATTGAAGTATTTTCATTCAAAGATTTAATCTTTAGTCATTAAAACACTTTCCGCGACTTCATAGGTAACTCGAATAAATTTAACTCAAAACTCTAATTTTCTTTCAAAGATTCAATCTTTTTACATTAAAAAGTCTAGTGATATAATAAGTACCTTGATTGAGGTATTTTTATTCAAAGATTCAATTTTTAGTCCTTAAAACACTCTTCGGGACTTCAAAGAGAACTCGAATAAGTTTAACTCAAAACTCTTATTTTCTTTCAAAGATTCAATCTTTCAACATTAAAAAGGTCTAGTGACATAATAGGTACTTTGATTGAGATAATTTCATTCGACCTTTCAATCTTTACTCATTAAAACACACTTCGTGATGTCAAAGGGAACTCGAATAAGTTTAACTCAAAACTCTGATTTTCTTTCAAAGATTCAATCTTTATACATTAAAAAGGTCTAGTGACATAATAGGTACCTTTATTGAGGTATTTTCATTCAATGATTCAATCTTTAGTTATTAAAACACTCTTCGTGACTTCATTGGTAACTCGAATAACTTAAACTCAAAACTCTCATTTTCTTTCAAAGATTCAATATTTATATATAAAAAAGTCTAATGACATAATAGTTACCTTTATTGAGGTATTTTCATTCAAATTTAAGATCGGCTCTAGCCGGCCGATTTTAGCGTCAACATTCTTGGCAAGCTCGGTAAGAAACCACTAGGTGAGTGATTTATAGTAAAAAATATGCATTCGGCTTCTCAACTGACATATAAATATTCTGATGAGTTAAATCAGCCGATGTACCAGTATTCTAATCAGCCATATGGTTGGCCAAACAATTATTAGCAACTAGTCGCTGATTATCGGCATGTTCCAGAAGTCACTGATTATCGGCATGTTCCAACAGAAACCAATTATCGGCAGATGTCAATAGTAGTTGATTATCAGCATGTTCCAGTAACTGATTATCGGCATGTAACAGCTGCTGTTTATCGGCATATTCCAACAACTGATTATCGGCATGTTACAGTCGCTGATTATCGGCATGTTTCAGGAGTCGATTATCGACAAACGCTAACAGCCGTTGATTATCGACATGTTCCAGCAGTCGATTATCAGCAGACGCCAGCAGTTGATTATCGGCAGACGCCAGCAGCCAATTATCAGCAAGTGATAAATCAGCATGTCACCCCCGTATCACAATCTTCGATACTCTTGGGGCAGCCAATGGCCAATCAGTCGTATGGTTAGACTGAAAGTTATCAACGACCAGCAACCGATTATCTACAAGAAAGTTGGCCAGAATGTAAGCAGAGGATGAAAACACTAATGGCTCAAATACGGAAGGAGCCAACAGTTGTTGATTATCGGTAAGTTTCAACATCAGATGTAATACCCCTAATTTTATAAAGAATAGTCCTGGTATTTCATTAATTGTTTAATTGGAATTTAATGGTTTAATTGTTTAATTGCTTGTTGTATGAATTAATTGTTATTATTTGACTTATTTGCATTATTTGAATTAAATTGTGATTATGTGAATTAATTGACTTACTTGTGATTGTGACTTTTAAATCACTGGTGTTAATTTAATAGTTTGTTTTACTGATTTTGTTAAATTAAATTGGTTACTTATATTATTTGATAAATTGGTAATTATTTAATTAAGTTAATTATTGAATTGTTTTGTGTCCACAGTTTATTTGTTTTACGTTGTGTAAGTTAGGGTTTTATGTCTCACATTGTAGCTGACTTATGGTTAGTATAGGAATTAGGTTTTGGTGATATTTGAAGCCTATAAATACTATATGATATGTCAACTTAGGGTTTAAAAGACAGAACCTTTATTTCACGTAGGGGGAAAAACAGAGAGTTACAGAGAGGAATACAGAGAGAGATACAGAAAGGAAGTCTAGGGTTTCGCCTTAGGCTACGGTTGAACCAAGGAAGGATTGAAGGGGTTGTATGTGTATGGAACCAAGGAGAAACAGAGGGATTGATCGGTGAAGGATTTGCCTGAAAATCTAGAAACGACAGTTAAAGATTTTAATCCAAAGTCTCAAAGGCAAGTCTCTGTTCTTCTCTTTCCCTTAAACTTGTGGTCTGTGCATGCTTAGATGGACTCAAGGAGTTTAATGAATGCTTAAACAATCTATTATGCATGTTTAAATTGATAATTATTCTCGTTGAATGAAACTGATATACCAAAATTCTTTAGGTTTCTGTTAGTTGGTTTATTCTGTAAACATGTTTAATTCTTGCTTATTTGAGATCAACGATTCATATGGTTGCTTAGTAATTTATCTAAAATGTTAAACGTACACTAGAACAAGAATTTAAACCCATTACAGAGGCTTAGAGATCACCGGAGTCGAAGGAGACAAGGTGAAAACAGATGACGGCTGCCAAGGGAGGGAGAGTAGGCTCCCAAAACCCTTGGAGCCGGCTCCCAAAGAAGTGGAGCCGGCTCTCAAGTACCTAGAGCCGGCTCTAGGTAAATTAGAGTAGGCTCCAAAGTTTAAGAGAGCCTGCTTCATTTTTAATGGTCCAGTTTTGACAGTTAGGGGTTTTTTTTGGACTGAATAGGTTTTTCTCGGTTTGTTTAAACTGTTTTAAATAGTGTATGGGACTGTAATAGACCTGTAACAGTAGGGGAAAACATTAATGCATAATTGGATTAAGGGATGGAGCGAGATGGATTTAGGGAAAAACCTATAAACGACACACTGTTGTGGTTAATTAACTTATGTGCTAGGTTTTGAAGCTTCTGTTGTATATAAATTTTATAGAGTTTAATTATGTTTAAACATAGTTATAAGCATAGTAACCTCTTGAAATCATCTATGCTTGGTTTGAAATAAATTGATACGTATATTCTGTTAATTGTGTCAATTACTGGATTATGTGGAGGATTTAAATGCTATAACTCATGTTAGCAATTTAAATTTTGGAAAGTGATTTTACGTTTTGTCATGAATGCTTAATGCCCTAATATATGTATTGAACTATATTTATGCATATCCTGGCTAATGGTTGATAAGGAACAATTACTGTTTTAACAAGTATGTTGTTTAGAGGATTGTATGCACCGGTATGGGACAATGGCGTACTAGGGATGGATTAGTAAAACATTGAATGAGTTGGATTAACTATAAAAAAAAAAGTTAAGTCCTACTTATATGGATGTCAATTCACCGATATGGGACGGTGGCATATTAGGGACGGCTCAGTTCAAAACACTGAGACCTACCTATATTGGGGATGGATTAGTTCAAACACTAAGTCCTACCTATATTGAAATAAGATGGATTAACTGCAAAAGTTAAGTCTTACTTATAACTAGGTGTCAGGTCAATAAACCTTTTGAATGACACTTGGAACAGACTTTATATATTTATGTTATGGTACTATGGTACGAGCTTGAGTCTCAGGACCATGGTTAGGGTGTGTATATCGCCTAGGATGGATAGTTGGACAGAGGTGTTGTTCCCTGGTAGGTGTAGGTACATATGACCACATTATGTGA